AGCCACAGGCATATTGGAATGTTGTATGTATTACCTGAAAGAGAAAGAGAAACTTTAGTTATTCTATTTTTATTTTTATTCAAAAACAGTTTAATAGGTAAGGGAGAGCTACAATTAAGGAACACATGTCAAACTTGCAGCAAATATTTTGTTTCAAAGTTCTGTTTAAAATTAGTTTCTCAATTTTTTGTTTGTAAAACCCATAAGTAGGATGAAGGAGCTAACTGATCACTACTCTGCCTATGCCTTCCTGATCCTATAAAACATTCTTTATGAATTATCTTTCGATCCAATCTATTCTTTGCTACGTGACTCTCTTCATTTCAGTTAATAAAGCTTGCTGGGAAGGGAAATGAAAGGAAGAACATGGCTTAACGTGCTAGAGGAGAAAGTGATAAATCTGAAATTCCCTTGTCAAAACCTAGATTATAAAACTCAATTCAATAGTCAAACAGATGCTAATTGGTTTCCACAGTCTGACAAAAGCATATAGCCTTTTCAGTGGTAATTACTCAGAATCATTCATGTCATTCTCTTCTTTTTGCTTTATGAAACAATCTGAGGTGAGAAATCTGACTATATGTAGTCAAAATGAAGCATCTTAAAGAATCTGATAGTTAATATATTAAACAAAAATCACAGTATTTTCTTACTATGCTCAAAGTCCAATGTTCCAAGCAACTATCTGAATCACCTAACATAATTTATATGCATTTTCCCCTTAGAAATAGTTCCCTGCACATAAATGTCATCTGAAGATATTAGATAGTTATAGGACTTCAGATTTGTTGTTTTAGCCCAGAATTACCTAGAGTGAATAATAATGGGAAGTTCCAATAGGAACTTTTATAGGGTAATATATAAAACCATAAGTTTTTCCCACCACCCAGAATTCTCTGCTTTGTGTAAATGAAGAATTTCCCAGAGTAATGTACATTTGTAAACTATGTTACTTATAACCTATTTCCTTCAACAGAGTTTATTTCCTGAGGGCAAGGGCAGAGTTAGAAATCTTAACTTTCACTGAGTCCTCCCTAAGCTTTCCATATTTGCTTTACACAGTGCTAATGCTTGATTAAGTATCCACCCCCATCTATAATATGCATCCTATTATAAAAGGTTGACTTGTCTTTTAATAGGAAGCTCAAATGTCATTACCTCTGTGATTTTCCCATGTGGCCTTGTTCTCCTTTGAAATTTTACTGTATCTTAAAAATTTTATTATTCTATAAGCATCTATAGACATGTAAATCTCATTTATTCCCTGTTTTTGTTATTAATGTAGAATGTTCCAGAAAAGATGTACCCATTATTCATCTTTGTGTCCATAACCCCTATCCCTATTACCTCATGCACAGCAAGTACTAAGTGAAATCAATGGGTAAGTTATAGGTCACAGGAATAATTAACAGAGCTGTCCAAAAACAAGTTTCTTTTCAAATTGAGTGCACTTTTATCACTGTAGGTATTCCACCAGAGGATAACTGACTGGCTAACAGACTAATTATCCATCATCAACATTATTACAAACCTCACATAAATAGTAGCTTCTATTTATTGTCTGCTAATTATTACCAGATTCTGTTCTACATCCTTTACCTATATTATCTCAATGAATTCTCGGTTTCCCTGAGTTAGGTACTATTATTCAAATACTAGAGATACTTCTAGTGACAAACCTGAGCAATTAGAGAGTAAGAATTCAAACCTAATTCTGTCTCAACTTTAAATCCTCCTATACAACTATACAATCTGGCATAGTCAGAAAAGACTGAATGGCGTGGAGGCTGAATGAACAGCCATCTGAGATCGCTTTTTAGTTTCAAAATTCTCCTATTCTCTGAAACAATAAATTTCTCCAATGCAATTAGGCACAGGACGTCTTAATAAGAAGCCTTATAAAAAGCTGAAATATGAGCTG